CTAACCCTAACCCTAACCCTAACCCTAACCCTAACCTTAACCCTAACCCTAACCCTAACCCTAACCCTAACCCTAACCCTAACCCTAACCCTAACCCTAACCCTAACCCTAACCCTAACCCTAACCCTAACCCTAACACCCGGGGTTTTCCCTTTCCGCCGCCACCACCGTTTCCGTGACGTATTTCCCGTGACGCTGACCCCTATATCGAACGCGATATTCAATGGGCGTGCCCCAACCGGTATATACGATCCTCTCCGTCATGTTCTGTTTAACCCTAACCCTAACCCTGAAAACCTGGGGTTTCCGGTTCCGTTTCCGGTTCCGTTTCCGGTTCCATTTCCGTTTCCGTTTCCGTGACGTATTTCCCGTGACACTGACCTCTATATCCAACGCGATATTCAATGGGCGTGCCCCAACCGGTATATACGATCCTCTCCGTCATGTTCTGTTTAACCCTAACCCTAACCCTGAAAACCTGGGGTTTCCGGTTCCGTTTCCGGTTCCATTTCCGTTTCCGTTTCCGTGACGTATTTCCCGTGACACTGACCTCTATATCCAACGCGATATTCAACGGGTGTGCCCCAACCGGTATATACCATCCTCTCCATCATATTCTGTTTAACCCTAACCCTGAAAACCTGGGGTTTCCGTTTCCGTTTCCACTGCCGTTTCCGTTTCCGTGACGTATTTCCCTTGACGCAAACCCCTAATCCAACGCGATATTCAATGGGCGTGCCCCAACCGGGTATATACGATCCTCTCCATCATATTCTGTTTAACCCCACCCTAAAACCCTGGGGATTCCGTTTCCCGTTTCCGCTTCCGTTCCGTGACGTATTCCCCGGACGCAACCCCTATATCCAACACGAATATTCAACCGGCGTGCCCCAACCGGTATATACGATCCTCTCCATCATATTCTGTTTAACCCTAACCCTAACGCTGGGGTTGTAAACCTGGGGTTTCCGTTTCCGGTTCCGCCTTCGCATCCGCTTCCATGAAGTATTTCCCGGACGCAAACCCCTAATCCAACGCGATATTCAACCGGTGTGCCCACACCGGTATATACGATCCTCTCCATCATATTCTGTTTAACCCTAACCCTATTACCTTCACACCTTATCGGTCCAGCGGGTTCGACTTTCCG